GTGTGTCTGTGTGTGTGTGTGTAGTAGTAGTAGTAGTAGTAGTAGTAATATATGACTAATACAAGGCATGAGGATCCAAGATGGCAAGGTGATTGATCAGTTGATGAGAAAAGCAACTGGAGACTAGAGGAGTCAAATGAGCAAGTGCTTATTGCATGAGCAAATGTGCAATGCAGTGTGGGAAAAGAATTGATGAAAATATATGGGGGCTATTTCAGTGTTGTTTCAACAGATAATTGATTAATGGTGAATAATCAATGATACAATTAGTTTTTATTAAAATATGATAAGTTCAGTGAGATGTCACTGAGCTAGTCCACATTCAAATGGGACCAAGATATGCACCAGAGGGGAATTAACTGGGTGGCCCTGGGAGTGAGCCCAGGAGAAGTAGTGACTAATTTCTCCTTCCCACCAGCTCTAGCCATGCAGGAAGTGATGTGTGAAAGAGTGGTGACCCTGGAAAGCTCCCTCACCCCCACCCCGTGGTGATGGAGAGTTCCCCGTGGATATACGGGGACTTCATGAAAACGTTTCCCAGTGCCCACAGCACTGACACAACAGACCCTCCTCCAGCACTGGGCAGTGTCCTTGCCAGAGGAGGAGATGACAAAACCTAAAGGAAGGGCATGTGCCGTTACCCATCCTTACCGAGTTATTGAAAGAAAAGAGCAAAGGGGAGTCCCACGTTGTTGAGCAGAGTCAGCTGTTGGCCTCACTAGGAGGCTGTGGCCTCACAGCCCAGGGAATCTCTGCACTGACCCTTCAAGGGGATCAACACCCTCCCTTCCCCTGTCAGGTACCAGATTGTGGAGGGGGAGGGGCAGGGGAGATAAGGACTGAGCAGTAAAGTCAAAGTGTTGCAGGGGAGGTGCTTGACCCCAGAGGCCTGACAGTCTATCCTGGGGAAAAGATCACTGGCGAGGGGGTGGACCCCAATGCAAGCCGGGAAGGTGTGGGAAGCTGACTAGTTATTTTGGATAAGCTTCTGGTTCCTCCCAAGCCTGAGAGTACACAATTGCAAGGAACAAAAGAAGCTCTTTTTCTTGCTCTGGACCTGCTCTCTCCGGCTCACTCATGTTCTCTCCCACCCATGGCAGACTAGTGGCCTCTTGGGGCCCGTGACAGACTGCACAGACTCCCAAGAGCTGTGAAGCAGACACTCGGGGTGTGGCCTTGGCCTTGTTCCATGGCGGGACAGAGGGAGATGGGAGATTGAGAAGCCAGGAGGATAATAACTCTTGCTAATATCTCACAAATAAACCACCTTGCCATGTCAGTCTCCTGTGCGTGGATCCTGGAAATGCGGGGAAGAGCCTGTTTCCCACCCACAACATGTCCACTTCACAAAGATGGCCTTCAGGAGGGGAGGGGGGTTCTTCCAGGTCAAGGTCCAGAGCACTTTGGAGATGAATTTCCACCTCCTTGGCCTCCTGTGGTGCTTCAGGCATCTTGAACTTGCTGGGTCAGGGAAAGATGAGTTGAGCCCCTCTAGTTGGCAGGATTCCCAGGAGCACTTCAGCCTGGGGACTGGGGCTTGAAATCACGCTAGATTCAGCCTGTGTGTGTGCCTACAATGAACAACTTTCTTGCGGAGAGCTGCCGTGCCCTTTTTGTTGGGGACAGAAGTATCCGGGGGTGGGGGTGGGGGAGAGAAGTACCAGGATAGAAACCCAAACCATTAATAACCCATTTCCTTCTAAACTTTCTACCCTTAAGAGTGAATTGGCTGGAGTTTCTAGAGGGCTTTAGGTCATCAGCACTACAGTTAGGAAACAGAAAAGCTAACCAACAGAAACACATCTAAACCACAGACAAAATTACTACTCCATGATAACCCGTCAAAAAAAAATAAAAAAGGCACTATCCAGCCAGAACTGCTCTAGCCATGGCTTTCTGAGCTCCCAAAGGTCTAAGAGCCCAAGGCCCAGAGGAGGTGAGAGCGCTGCCAGGGCTCGCACGGTAGGGTTTGCCCGGACTGCTCCTGCAATTCATAGCACCCCATTCATTCTCAAAGCATCCCAGTTTGGGCCATCAATTATATGGTCTTTAAACAAACAAACAAATTGAAAAGGTGACTCCAGGCTTAGCTGACGGTCCACAAGTTGGCTCTGACGGCTCACTCTTCCTATTGGACTCTTCAGCCAGAGTCAGCAAACTCCATGGAGCAGTCAAGTCCAGCCCTGGCCTGTTTTGTATGGCCCACAGCTAAGAATGGTGTTTGCATTAAAAAATTTTTTTTAACAGGGATATGTGACAGAGACCCTGTGTGGCCCAAAACACCAATAAAATATTTATTGTCTGGCCCCTTATAGGTAAAGGTTGCTGACCCCTGATCTTGCATTTTGGGGTAAAGGGCCAGGATCCTGGGTCATTATGAATGTCTTTGGCCCCCAAACTGTGTTGGGTAACCTCATCCTACCTTCACCTAATTCATCCAGCAGAAGGCCCGATGCTGGGAGGCGCATCGCATTTGTGGGGCCATGTCACCTACCAGAGAACCCCTGTGGACACAAAGGCATCGGTTGAGATTCCCTCTCCAAGGATCAGCAATGGCAGGAGAGGAATGAGGGCTAACACCTTCCTGTGCTCCATCGGGGTTCTGTTCTGGGGCAAGGTCATGCCAAGGCCTCCAATTCTGCATCCTGTCTCTCAGATGCCTCTGCAGCCCAGGCCCCTTGGTGCTTCCCTACCATCAATTACATCCTGCCATCTGATTGGGCCCTTGGGTACCCAATTATTTAATGTTCACTTTTATGCTCCCGTACATGCACTCAGGTGTATGTGCAGGTGTGTGTGCGTGTATGTGTGTGTGTCCTACACCATGTTTAAAAATATGTTTGTTTTCATTAGTTGTCAACTGTCTCAGAGCTTTACATGGTTAGAACTGTCTCCAGCGTCCCCTTCCACGGGCCAGCGGTCCTTGTATGTGCTGAGGAAGCCCCTGGGAGGGATGTGCCTGTTGTACATACAGATCAGCATGTTTGATCACCCCCGGGGATTGCATCTCCGACGTGAGGGTCTTCCTTTCAGAATCACCATTTCAGTCTCAGCTCTGGGAGAGTGACCCCAGTTTGTGGGGACAATTCTTGGAAAAAACCCAACAGACCTGTCTGGTCCTCTCCGGCTTCGTCACTGACCACGTGGCTGTAGGAGACACTCTTGGGGCCTGGCTGTCCTTTCCCATCCGAAGAGCCCTGCTGCCCTTCCAGCTGGAACGCTGACACTTCATGAAGCCACACTGTGGTCTGGGATGCTGCTCATGCCTTAGAAAGAATGCAGAGCGTGTGCCTGGTACTTCTTACAAGTTTATATCTAGAAGCATTTGCAAAAGGGACACTTTGGCCAACTCTCAAAAGGATGCAGGACACGGCGGGAGTCCTGCTAGAAACTCTGAGAGCCCCTGTGGCCCAGCAGTTGACAGGGGATGACAGGGCCAAGACCAGACCCAAGCTTCCCAACTCCTGACATCACCGGACAGCAGAGCACACTGCTCTCCATGGATTCACCTAAAACATGAGCACCTCTTCCAGGGGGTGGGTCGAGAAGGCACGCAGCACTGCCTTGCGCATGGCAGGTCAGCAGTAATGTTCAACTGAAATTATTCAGAGAGCTGGATGTTTGCTATTCTGGGAACATTGCTCAAGGAAAGTGTTTTTTCTTTTTTTATTCCAGTTGGTCTGGGATGTTTGTCTCGTAAGTCAGAATTATATGATTATTAAAATCATTCTGAATCTCAAATAGACATTCATAAAAGAGTGTTCTTTTTGTCCCCTTCCCACTTCTCCGGTGGGAAATTGTGGAGAGTGTTTGTATTCTTGGGGAAGGTGGTTATGTATGAGCTCACTGTTGGCCCCTATTCCCTAGGGCGAAGCTTTCCTGTCCCCCTTCTCCCTGCAGACCCACTGCTGCCTTCCCCGGGTGGTGGACACCGACAGGCAGGAATCGCCTGGCTGCCGTGCCTCTGCCTCCACCCCCACTTCTGAACTCTGAAATGAGACATCTCCGGAAATCTTATTTAGGGTGAACGTCGATGACCAATGGAGAGGGGGTGCCATCAGGAGCTGGCTTTGCTGGTTACCTTGGGATCAAGCAGTTAAAAGCTCTGAGAGCCACTTACCGTTTTCCCACCTTTGAATATACTAAACCAAGAGCCAGTGAGAGGGTCAGAAGGGACTGGTCCTTGGATCATTAAAAATAAATTCAGGCCCGGCCAGCATGGTTCAGTCGGCTTATGAACCAGGAGGTCACGGTTCGATTCTCGGTCAGGGCACATGCCCGGTTGCAGGCTTGATCCCCAGTGTGGGACATGCAGGAGGCAGCCAGTCAATGATTTTCCATCATCACTGGTGGTTCTATCTCTCTTGCCCTCTCTGAAATCAATAAAAATATATTTAAAAATGAGTAAGAACCACATGCTAAGCGAAATAGGCCAGACAGGAAAAGTCAAGAAGCGTAGGATTTCACTCAAAAGTGGGATGTAAAACTAAAAGCAACAAATGAACAAACAAACTCACAGACACAGACAACAGTACGGTGGTTCTAAGGGGAAGGCGAGTGGTGGTAGCAAAAGACAAAGGGGGTCAGTAGATGGTGACGGAAAGTGAGTTGACTTCTGGTGGTGGGCACACAATGCAACACACAGATGCTGTATCGTAGAAATGCACACTTGAAACCTATATAATCTTATTAACCAATGTCACCCCCGTAAGTTTAATTAAAAAATAAAATATACATAAAAAAAAACCGGTTCAGAACGATGCTGGCCCATGCTTCTCACCAGCACTTATTCTCAGAGCTATAATCAGCTGCTGGGACAGCTTACAAAGCGGTCCCCCACCCCTTCCTCGTGCCTTACAGCTTCGCTGGCTCAGCCCCTGGTTGTGATCCATCCCTTTGCAAACCTGTGCTCTGTATGTGGAAACACATGGTTTGAAACTCTTTCTCCCCAGCCTGACTCCCAGAAGAGAGGCAGTTTGAAAACAGGACAGTTTCCGTTGTGTTTTTTTCTACCTTTATTACGTTTTTGCATTTGATACAAACCACTCTCATATACCACACAAAATACATCCATTCTTGTGATTTTAAAGTGCATTTCCCCTTGAACATTGTGTACAAAAATATTTATTATTTTTTTTTAAACGTGGAAATTTCTTGACAAGGCACTTTTCGGCATCCAATGAAGCTGAGTCACTTCAGCTGGACATTCACATTGACATCAAAGTGAAACGCCATCCTCACAGCTGCATTCTTGGAGTCCTCTTCCCCCTCCCGCCCCCAGCAATCTCTAGGAACTGAGAACAAAACTGTAAAAACATTCACAGCTTTACAACCCGGGCTGCAATGCTTTCCAACCGCAGTGGGGAAAAGCCGCCCAGAACCACAGCTACCCTTCCCCGCCCAGAAGGGTCCCACTTCAGGCAGTGAGGTAGCTGCCAAGCAGTCTTTGGAGGACCCTGTAAGATCCCACTGTCAGCTTCACTCTCTCCGATTCAGTGATCACATCTGAAGAGATAAGTAGATCGGGACCTCCCAGAGCAAAGGGCCACGAGGCCTGTTCCGGCAAACCACATCCAGTCGGGGAACTTTAAAAGAGGAAACAAATGAAAAAACAACCAAGGTTTCCATTCACTGTCCATTAAGAGCCAGAAACAGGCATTTCTAGAAAGTGAGCAAACCACCATTTTTTTTATATATATATATATATATATATATATCCCAAGTGCCTACAAAGTGACGCTTGTTTTTATAAAGCAAATTATATGCAAAGATCAAAACCACAAATTCGTTTAGCAGTTCAAACTTTACATCTTTAAAAAACATTGAGTCATGTTTTGCCACCATTAAAATTACACCTTAGAGAAAAAAAATAAATTCTACCTTGATTCTGAAATGTAATTTCTACAGAACTACATAACTCTATTTCTCACCAGCTCCCATATAACAAGAATATTAAACAAGAGAGAAAGAAACCCACTCAAATGCTTCATCTCTTCCAAGAAACATTGAAAGCTTGTTTATTATATCTTTATATAGTCCAGCTTATTTATTGCACCTAGTTTGCAAGTGCTCCCCAGGGCACAGGGGGAATAAATATGAAACCAAAACGGAGCTGCTTGCCCATTCCTGGAGCACCACACCACCAGCAGGAGGCTGGGCTTGCTGGGGCGACTCGGGAAGCACCCCGGACTGGAGGCCATTTGTCATCACAACCAAGAGCTGTCTGAGGGCCAAACCTACAGGTCAGGCTGCAGGGAAGTCTACAACTGAGAAACAGGCCTCTCTCTCAGGTGTGCAGACCTGTGGGCTGAGGGTGAGCCAAAGAGACGCTCCCCATGTTCTGGGACAGAGCCGGACAGAAGGAGGACTGCTTGGTGAGGAGGAGACAGTATTCTTCAGATCCTACAACCTCCCTGAATGGCAATGCTGACAGGGAAGTCGGGCAACCAGATTCCTTAGTGAGAGCAGGGTCTTTGCAAGCGGGTGAGGACTTGCCCCATGGGGTGAGTGGCCCAGGTGCACTGGCTGGGGGCGTGCAGGCAGAGCCGCCAGCAAAAATATCTGGGGAGAGCTGGGAGCAAAGCAGGGGAGGGGGAGGGTTTATGGCTGTTTTAGAAGAGATACTTATCACTGAATTACCCTATTTCAAATTTTGACACAGGAATGCCTTAGGATCACTATTATTGACAGCCGTACACAAGTCACTTGAGGCGTTTTTCTCATGAACACAGAATGATCTCATAACCTGTAGTCGGGGAACATGTAAACGACAGTGTACCTTGGACCTTTCCTGAAATGGAGGAGGAGGAGGGGGGAGATTTCTTAAAACAAAATCAAAATGTTGCTTCTATTCAATTTAGATTTCACTCTTAAGAGCTTTGACCACCAGATTTGTAGCACAAAGTGCTCTCTGTGTACTTGACGTAAGATATGCTTGGATAAAACACAGTTCTGCCCCATTTCAGTGTAAGTAAATGTGATTTTCCCAGAAATTACATTATCATGGCATCCCTCCGTGCTGCCCACCTGGGAGAGGTATAAACAGTAAAGCACAAGGTTACAGACTAGTAACAGCCAGTTTTAGGAAGAAGAATTACATCAAACACAACTTAAAGAGCGTCTGAAAAGTTAAAACATTTTAAAGTTCAAAGAAAAAACAACAACCCACCAAACTCCAGGAGCTAAGACACTCCGTACCTGCCCGACACCCGACAGGATCGACAAAGAAGCTGGGAGGTGGTTCCTGATTGAATTGGAAAATGCAAACGGACAGAGACTCTCTGCCTGCAGAGCCCAGCAGCTGTGTGTCCCACTTCCTGCTTCCCTTAGGAAAACCTCACTTTAGTAAATCAGGCAAGAGGAAAACGAGACAGTCATTTAATCTCCCAAAACAAAAACAGAAAAACCCCAAACCTTCTACAAATACACATGTAAAAATATCTTAAACACCCCCAAGTACAAACCAGTCTTGCCCCCAAATAATCACAGGATCTGGGGATCCATCTGACAGTGAAAGTCCCAGGACTCTCACAACCACATGACCCACCAGATTTGTAATTCTTTTGTCCAATATGGTGGAGAACAATTAACGTCCGCTATTTCAGAGCTGGCAAACATCGGAGAACTTAGTGAGGTTTTCCTCCTCTGCCCCTTTCACATACTCAGCATAAATAAGGACACCCAAATCAAAGTCCCTGGGTGCTTGTAACATGTCCCGGCTGCTGTAAATCACAGTCAAAATAAAAGCAAACATTTTTGGAAGGCTTCCAGGATATATTGGATCTTCCAACCCAAATGTCCTGAACACAGTGTAAAAGATGAGTCTCCAGAAAGGACGATCTACAATCCGCGTATAAAGAATAAGGCGCCTGCCAGCCAGCCGCGCAAGTTGAAACACCCCTTGTAAGTGAGCCTCCTGGTGACTCCGGGTAAGTCTGAGTGCTTAGAAAGCTCCCCCAAAAGCCAAGAGGAGAAGCGAAACGTGTCCCACTCGCGGCTGTCCTGCCTGTCCTGAGCCAGCAATCCGTAGGCTGCACGGACGCCAGTTACTCTGGGTCACTGGCGAGCTGCTCTCCGCTGGAATACACGCGGGGCCCAGCAAGAGGAAATGCCTGCCTCCCAGGCCGATTTGCCTGTATTATCTTTTCCTGAACATCAGATGAACTGTCGAAGAAAAACACCAAAAAAACGCATGGAGACAAAATGTGAAGAACGCAGAGATGTGAGACAGCAGCGAGAGGTAGGAGGGCCTGGCTGGGTGGAGAGAAGCCAGAGAACGGCAAGGGGCCAGAAGGTGGCTGGGGACGGAGTGACATCCGAGTGACTGACTTTCCTAAGCCGCTCCTCACACAGCCCCGGCACCCTCCGAGTGGCGGCGTTATGAAGCCACCATCCTCTAGCCTCGCCAGCACTGCCTGCAGGCCTGGCTCCTGTCCAGACCCTCGCTGGCACCATCCTGCCATACCCTGTGGCTGCCCCGGGTGCCAAGCAGACCAGCACACCACGGCCACTCTGAGCGTGAAACTGGTTCTGTGGTCTAAGCCGGGCTGGACTTGCTGGTTGAAGGAAAAAGTGAATAGGATCCTTTCTTTTCGGCAAGTGTGCCTGATGGCAGTTCAGCTATTCTCTTGGCTTTCCATCTCCGTCCCTCTGTGACTGCAGCTGGGCTCGTCTGCCCCCACTCAGCTGGGCTCCGTCGCACGAGGTCACTAATAGTAGGGCCCTAGCTTTTCGTACCCTAGATAACTAGGCCACTCCGGGAACAGACCGTAGGAGCACCGAGGGCTTCCGAACTGGTCAAAGGAGATTCCCAGATCGGGTCCATTTTGTGACTCGGCCGGGCCCTGGGTGGACTTTAATTCCGCCCGGGTGATGCGATAGTTTTTGCCTTTGTTGCTGTCCCAGTACGTCTGGCCGTTGCACTCAAAACACACAGCGAACTCCATTCTTTCATAAGACTGGATTTTCTCAGGTAAGCGGATGTCAAAGGAGAACGTGTCCCTGTCTGAACTAGAGTAAGTGTCCTTCACGTACCAACAGGGGAAGTCTGTGAAGCTTTTCCAGGTGTCGAAGGTCATCCTGATCTTCACCGTCTTCTCAAACGCCAGGTTCTGCACCTTCACGGTGCCTGCGACCGCTTTGTCCTTCAGCACGCAGTTCTCCAGGCAGACGTGGTCGGTCTGAAGCCGGTTTCTAAAGTCTAAGTAATCTGCCGAAGGCTGAGAAAAATCCAACACAAAGCTCTCGCTCTCTGCTGTCGTCAGACTCACGATGTTGTCTAGGAGCTCAGTGATGTTAAACGGAACATCTAACGGGTCATCAAATTCTGAGAACACTTTGACCATTGTCAGGGCCAGCCCCTGGTTGTCTGCGAAGGACACTCGCTTTTTCACCTTTTTCTCCTGGACGGTTGGGGCCACCACTCCACTGGCTTCCTTCCTGCTGCTCAGCTGAATACAAGGCCTCAGAGGTTTGCTGGGCTTCGGTGAGATCTTGAAGGCGAACCTCTCTCTGCGCAGGGAAGGGGCCATGCAGCTGTACCTGCACTCTATGTCCACAGCCATCATGGGGTTAGAGGAACAGGCTAGAACGCTGGCAAAGGGGGAAAGAAAGAAACAACAATGAGATCAGACTGACACTGCTTTTCTTCATCTCTGTCCACACGGCTACCGTTCAGTATTAACTCAAGTGTGGTCCAGATTAACCAAAGATAGTGACAAAAAGTGAGAAAGCCAGAGACATAATGGGTTTGGTTCCACTTTCCAAAAGAAGGACAGCACTTCCCTAGGATGCAGCAGGCACTTAGTGATGACCAACTGGAGAAACACACACGTTCAGAGAAAAATATTACAATAACTAATAGCTACAGTGTAGTTATCTAAACATTTATTTTATTTTATTATTTTTAATCTTTATTATTGAAAGTATTACATATGTCCCCTTTTCCCCACCATTGACCCCTTCTACCTGCCCCTGCCCCCCTACCCCAGGTCTTCACCACCCTATTGTCTGTGTCCATGGGTTATGCATATATACATTTAAGTTCTTTGGCTGATCACCTCCCACCCACTCACTAAACATTCATTTTTAAAGGGTATTTGTCTTACTGTTTCCTCTCTAAGGAAGTCAAAGGAGTGAAGATTATAGGGGCCATTTGCTTTCTATTATCTGTTCTTATGGCCATGCAGTGGTTCTGGAAAGGAGAATTGTGACTTAATTGGGCAAGATAACTTTTAAGAGTGTTGAGCAATGGGTTCAATGAAAACAAACAAACACCTAAACTTGCAAAGTGCTTGCATTTTAGTTTTCCCCCGGTCCATTGCAAAACTTTGTTAGAGTGTACTAGAATTACACCTTCAGCTTTAACTTCAACACAGGTAGTTGGTTTTATAAAAATAAAAATAAAAGCCTGAACAGGGGCAAAGCCCCTCCTACTCTGTCCACCGTTGACAACCTGGGTATGAACGGGGGAGAAAGAGTTCCTCCTTGGCCACAGCGCTTCCTCCTTGCCTGAGTCAGCACAAGGTCAGCTGCAAGTTCTCTCTGCCCAGCCAACTAGCCTGCAAGGCGACCTCGTACGTGCTTTCCTGCACGATGTTAAAACAGTCAATCAGTTCATTAGAAAAAGGTGGGGAAACTCTCAAGATATTGTGTAAACTGAATTCTAAAATAAGGGGCACAGTTAGGGAATGAAGATTTGGTAAAGTTACACTGTTTGGACCCAGTCGTGTAAATTAAATCTGCCTGAGATCCTTTTTACCAGTCAGCTACAAGAACAAGTAGAGCTGGGGATTGGGAGGCGAGGTTCCAGCCAGAGCTAGAGCTCATTAAACAATTCCCCTGGCACATTCTAGAGCCTAATCGGTTTTGCAACTTTTTTCCACGAAAAGCAAAAGTGAGGTTAACTACCTTTTGACCCAAGGGTTACTGCCCCAGAAGCATTGCACAAGCAACCCCTGACCAGAACCCCTTCAGTCTCTCAGTCTGACCATAACTGGAGGTGAGGCCTCAATCTCAGATACAATGCGACTATCGGCCACTCCGCCTGTCCTCACACGTAGATTCCAATTTTTATTAACTGGAACATTCTCCAAGAATCAATCACCCAAGTGCTGGTTTAGTGTAGGCTTTCCTGACCGTCTGTCTGCTCAGGAATTCTCCAATGGACTGTGACAGGAATGACCATCACCCAGAAGTAGTTCTAGCAACAGAGACACATGCAAGGTAAGAGTTTCCTAAGCCCCTGCAAGGACTGCACCTGGACAGGCATTTTTATCTTCAAGTGGCATGAAAATGATCAGTTCCCACGCAGGATGCACCGGGCTGTACTTCAGGCACCTTCTCCTGACAGGCTGTCCTGCTGCTCCAGCCTTTTCCCTCCCCCAGACCAGGGAATAAGAGTGACCAAGGCTGGCCAGGGGGAAAGCAGACCGAGAAGACACACATTTGACCCAGCAGGGCGCACAGGACCTGGAGACCAGTTCACTGCAGGACAGGCTGCGAGAGCATCAGCAGCTGTTGCTCCGACCAGTATGGATGCTCAAAAACTCAGCTTCTAAAAGATGCCTGACTGGGCCATGCCCAAGGGTAGATTTCAGTGTTCCTGGTCAAAAGGGGGCAAGCCCTAAACCTCCACAATAACCAGAGAACATGCCCAGTTTTGCATCAAGGCTTTCCCTGTTCCACGAGAGGGAACTTACACACCACCAGCCCAAGCTGGCTGGGGCTAGATGTCATGGTGATTTCTCTTGCGAAAACTATAGGTTCGTACAGGAAATAACCCCATGACCTTCCTAGTTCCAGGCAGCTGACCTACTGACACTCTGGCTATGCCTTTTATAGTAAGTAATTAAAAGAAATATGTATTTTTTTTGGTATTGAGGCCAAGACATTTCCCCTTCCATTCTCTTGTACTTTTATATGTAAAGACAGAAAAATAAGATGCACCAATAATCCCCCCTTCCCTTCGCCCCAGGAACACCAAAACATTAGGTAAGCAGTCACAACAGGTTATCATGTTTAAAAGACACAGTCATCGACCCCTTCAGCATTCCTGGGTCCCCTCCCCAAAGGTTTGGCTGACACGGTATGAATAAAGTTGACATCGCTCTCTCTGTACTCTGATCATGGGGCCCTTATTCACAGCCATAAAAGCCACTTGTATTCTATCCTGTCACTATCGTCCAAAGCATCTTCGAGATGAGTATCGGTGGGTGAGGCAGCATATTTCAGGAAGGAGATAAGTTAAAATGGCACAGTCCCTGCCATCTAAATGTCCAACGTGAAGCACAGAGCCCTGGCCTAGGCACACGCCACCTGGCTGTGCCACTTGCTGCAGGTCACTCCACTCTCCCGGCTCCGGCTTTCTCCTCGGGGTCCCTTCTGGCTCTGACATTCACGGTTACTAATAATGCCCCATGGTCCTTCTCTTCCCACTAACTTTCCCCAAATACCTCAACTTAAAGTTTGTGGTAAGGCCTCCATTCCTGGATCCTTGGCAGCCCTGCCAAACGAGCCCTTTATTTCCTCTCCCCTCTGCGCCCCAGCTCCAAGCCCTCCCGCTCTCTTCTCCGCACCTTGGGTCTCCCAGGGACGCCTGGCCACACAAACCACAGGCTCCAACACCTTCTAGCAACTCTCCACATTCCCAAGTCAAGTCTTTCCTCAGCTGTCTCCTCTTCTTCAGGAAACAATGCCATGACGGGCCCCCAAATCTTCTAGTATGTCCTTCTAGGCCCGCTAGCCGCTCTTCTTGCAGAATCCTGTCCACACCCCCTTTTTCTGTGTTCAAAAGAGTGGAGCGTCCAGGTTGGAGGATTCCACAGGTCACTTCGACCTGGATCCCTCTCGGACCCACCCCCTCTAAGATCTTCCTTTGCCTGTCGGGGGCACCTACCTTTGAGGCCGCGGGGCAGCCCCCTCCCCAGCTCGCTCGGAGATGCATCGGAGAGCCCTGTGGGAGGTGGCAGAGGCGGCCACCAGTCTACTCTCAGTTCCTGGAGAAGGAGGAGGAGCCCGAACTATTACTCCAGGGCGGGGAGGAGGGGTCACCCCGGCCTGAGCCGCGCCGCGCGAGCGCCCCCACGCGGCCGCCTGGCCCCGCCGGGTCAGGACAGCCCCAGTCTGGGGACCTGAGGCCCGGGAACAGGGTGGACGCGTCGCTCTATGCCTCCTCTCTCTCGGCGGCCCGAGAGACTACAAAGTGTGTTTCCTAGAGTTTTATGGGGAAGCGAGACCCTGGGAGAGAAGAATCGACTTTTCTTTGCGCTCCAGACCCCATCGGCCAACTCCGCAGACACTCTGCCGGGGCAATAGAGGGCAAGGGTACCCTAAGTGCCCGCCCCAGGGCCGCGGGACCGCACCTCGGGTTCCATCCCACCTCTGGTCCCTGGATTGCCCGCTCCACGTGGAAGCAGCAGCGTCCCGGAGCCCGTCTAGAGTGTTCCACCCCGGAGTGGAACTGCAAGTTGGACGGAGAACGTGCAGATGGCAGGAACCACAGAGGGTCTCCACTGCGCGCCCCTCGCCGCCATCACCCCGCGCTCGGACGCCAGGACGTGGAAGGACTTACCTGGTGCAGCTCATAAGCCCCGAGGTGCAGAGGCTCCAGCCCGCGGCCGCATCGGTGCCAGGGTGGCTGGGGCAGCCGGAGCGGCAGCAGGAGCGCGGGCCGAGACTCACGTCCGTGCCCTCCACCGGCAGCCGCCTCCGTCCGCGCGCGAGAAGCCCGCTCGCCCCCTTACGGTCCGCCCCTGGGACTCTGGCTCCCGGCCGCCGCGCCGCTCGCTTTAACTTTCGGGCCACCTCTCGCCTCTCGGGGTGCCATCCCAGACCCCCTTCCACGTGAACGCCCCCCGCAGCCAATGGGCGTGCCGGGACGCGAGCGACGGCCAATGGCCGGGGAGCCGCGCGCCGGGAGAGCACCGCTGCGCCACGTGATCCCCTGCGCGCCTAGCGGGCTGGGGCTGCGGGGAGGGCGGTGGGTAGCTGTTTCATCAGAAGCCCGGGGCCAGGCGCCAGGGGGCAGAGGCACTTTCCTGCAGATGAGCGCTCCGTTCCAGCAGGAGGCCTGGGCGTGAGAGGTTTACGGTTTCCCCCTTCAGGCGCGTCCTGGCGGGGCAAAACCTTTCCATACTTTCCCGCGGGCCCCGCCTCCATCTGCACTTTAGCTGCGGGGTTCACCGATGACCGTGACTTCCCCTACCACCTGCGGAGACCCGGGAGCCCTGAGAAAAGACTTGTGTTTCCCGGCTCTTTCGGTGGCATTTCTTTGGGTTAGTTATTCCCAGATCCTGAGATAGGGTCTAAACAATTCTTGAGTCCAGCTGATGTTCAGTGGTTGAGCTTCGACCCAGGAGGTCATGGTTTGATTCCTGGTGGCGCACATGCCCGGGTTGTGGACTGGATCCCCAGGGTGGGGAGTGCAGGAGGCGGAGGATCCATGATTCTCTCTCATCATTGATGTTTCTCTCTCTCCCTCTCCCTTCTTCTCTGAAAATAATAAAAACATATTTTAAAAGCACACAAGAACCCCCACAAAACAAAAACACAATTCTTGGATGCTTGCTTTGTGCCTGTCATGGTCCAGGTATTACTGTGAAAGGAACATAGTACAATTCTTTTAATGTTATTGAGGCAAAGGACTAAACCAGGGGTGGGCAACCCCTGGCACGCGTGCCAAACATGGCACGCCAGTAACTTTAGCTGGCACTCGAAACCCTCTCTTATAATCTTCCATTTACAATTTTTTTCTTAATATTGACTTTTTTATTTTTCAGATAAATTCAGTGTAGGTGCATCTTAGATAAATAATTTTACATAACTCGAACTATCAGTGTACGTGTATACATTAAAAAATAAATGTATTTTTCATCATCATATACTGTGTTTTTGTCATTCGAATGAATTTTATTATTTCTTCAAGGTTTTTCACATACGTACATCTTAAGAGATATCAAGTAGGCGTAACATGTTCTCAAAAAATTATGGTTGGCACGCAGAAGAATTTCGAGTCAGAGATTTTGCTGGTTTTGGCATGCACTCAGAAAAAGGTTGCCCACCCCTGAACTAAACCCATCTCACAGAGTGTTGCATGTATATAATTGAGGGTTTCTCAGGTAGGTATATTTTAGCAGAAATTACCTGATCATATGTAATACTTTCAACAATAAAGATTTTCTTTTAAAAAATGACCTGGACCTACAGGGCTTCCATGACCTACCTCTATGATATAGAGAATGATGAGATTCTAAAAGACCAAAAGCCCCTCCTCTCCTATGAGAATAACAAGTTTACATTTATATAGTCATTTATATAATCTCCTTTATGATCGATCAGCTTTGAACTGGTCACTTTAGGGCTGAGGATCCTAGTTTTCTAATGTTAATGACTTCTGGAAGCTGATAGAGGCGTGCCAGCTTTTTAAAGTGCCAAGTAAAGACATTGAATTTAAAACAACACCACCACCACCAAAAACAACTTAGCATCTTCTGTTACTTTCCTTTTATTTTTTTTTAAATAAAAGTTCTTTTTAACAGCAATAACAACAGAATGCAGGAAGGGTGTAATCTCAGAGTAAAGTCCATTACATTGGATATATTTAGCTTTATGAAAATTCATTATGTTGAACGTGGTATTTGGGAAATTCTGCTTTCAGGGATAGGAGAGCACATACTAATGTTACTAGGGATCTAAGACTAAAACGCTAGTCGGTTACAGTAATCCAATACAGGCCTTCAGTTTACAGAGTTTCCCCAGACATAGTGTCCCTGCCTGAAGGGCGATCATTAGGCCTCTTCTCTTTCAATGGGCAAATCTGATAAAGGACCACCTGCGAAACCAGCTGTTGGTAGGCGGTTGGCAAATAAAGTTTCTGTGCAATACTCCCTTTCCCAATTCTAAACCCCCTTTATTAGCTGATGAGTGGGTTGAAGATTTATTAAGCCAAGGGTTGGCTGCGTTTCTTCAGCATAGTGAGCATGTTAACGGAGTGGGCAAAGAGAAAGAGCCAACAGGTATTGCAAAATGTATGCAGGCAAAGGGTGATCTGCACCAAACTGGGAAGAAGTTGGAACAAGTAAATACAATTTTACAGCATTAGGGTTTGGAAGCATCTTCCTTACATAGATCTAGGAAACCATGGGTAATAATTTCCCCTGCGGTTTCGATGACTATTTCAGACCAGGAGAGTGGGGCTAAACTTAGTTGTGGCACACCACAGTCTTGGTAGGTAGGAGTGTGGCATCTATGAGTTTGAAAAGAGCACAGTTTCACTTGCGATCAGCATGGATCTGGGGTACAAGGTCTGGAGGACTGTTCCAGCAGAATCCATTGCAGCCCCAGAGCCCAGAACCTCCCAGCTGGGCTGGCCCTTAGACATGGAGATCTTGCCTCACCTTCTCATTTTATAGCAGAAAGTCAGTCAAAATAGACAATTTCAACCCGTTAGCCAATGCATACCAAGTTCCCTTTATGGTATCTGGCATTTTAGTTTTAATTTCATTTAATGAGGCAAGCATCCCCTCCTCAAATAAATAAAAAAGACGAGCATTGTCTAATCATCATTATTTTCCCATAAATTGTTCTTTTTCGGGTCTATTAGTGATAGCGTTGTCTTTCTTCCTTCACTGTGGGCCGATTGGTGACTCCTTCAGTCCCTTCTTACACATTTGTTCATTCATTCAACAACACATTATTGAACAACTACTGTAAATCCGGGTGCTAGATATGGAAAAATGGAAAACGTCTTACTCTTAAGAAGCTCTGAGATTAAATGACGATGCAGGATAAAGCATGGAAGGTAAATCTCTGTGTTTTGGGAGCTAGCACGAAGGCTGTGCATGCGTAGCAGTGCAGGTGGGGGTGGGAGCGGGGAAGGTCAGAGAAGGCTACTGAAGAAGTGACCATTGAGCAGCACCCTGAAGGGGGAGTTAGCGCTCAGGGGTAATGGAGAGAGCATGGCAGGAATTGGCAAAGGTCCAGAGCTCTCTACCTTCCCCTACCGAATTTCCACTCTGCTGATTAAAACAACGTTTCTGAGTGCATGTGTTAACATCGGCATTGTACTCATCCAGAACGTTTTAAAACATATTGTTAATGTCTTATCTCCTTTTCAACTTAACACGTTTCAAAGACAGCCCAAACCGAGGTCCTACCGTCAGCCAAGATTTTGGAAGAAAAATCATTTTTTTTTTCATTCTTAGAATTATAACATTGCTTCTCATTGAATAAAAAGTATTGCAGAGAAAATCTAAATAAAAATAACCAAGGGTCAGAACTAAAAAAGAGGACATTCTTGTGCCTGATGAGAATAGAAAGAGGGAAAGACTTTCCAAACTGCCCGAGTCGGTTTATATTTAGACGAGCGAAGTTGTTTGCACCTGTCAGAGCCGCAGACATGTTCTGGGCGCATCGTGTTACCTGGGGCCCTCTGCCCCTCTTTCAGATTTGACTGAAAGTGACTTGCTAGGTCATGTCTTATGGGTTAGGCAGATGCATACTTTAACGGAGGTTATTCTGTAAGCCTCTAACTATGGAGGATGTGTCCTTAGCCTGGGAGAAGACCTAGA